GGCTGGGAGAGCTTCAGCTCCGGCCGGGCCTGGAAAACGAGGGCAGCGGGGGCCGGGCCCGGCAGCTCCAAGCATCCCCGGCTGGCCTGGGCGCTCAGGCAGGATGGCGGCGGGAAGGGGCTAATTGAGTCCGCGTGGTGCAGCGAGGAGACGGCGTTTTCCCTTCACTCCGCCTCAAAACCAACATGTTTGTCCTGGTTTTGTTCCCCGCAGAGCGCAGCTGCCGCCCCGAGTCCCGTGCTTGGAAACATTCCCCCGAACGACGGGATGCCCGGGGGCCCCATCCCGCCAGGTTTCTTCCAGGTAGGATGCCGCTTTTCCCCGGGCCGCCGGCGCTAGCAGGGGCACACGTGTCTGCTTACGCTCCCCGCATCGGCACATGGTTCTCCAAGGGGATCCTAGGGTAGCACTGTGCCAACAGAGATGACCTGTGTATAAATAACCAATGCTCTTCTCTTCTTCCACGTTTACTTTCTGCTTTTTCTTTTTTGTGGCCTTAAAGCAAATTCATTTGTTGCTCGAAGAGGTTATTTTGTGTTTACAATTGGTATTTTTCCAGAGCTGCCTGTTTCGTGTTTGGGTTGAGATTGTATTTGCTCTTTGGTCATAACAGACATGCATAATTGAAAACATTCTGGATTTTGATTCCTGAAACTTTTTCCCCCGCTGGTTAACCACTCGATTTTTTCCAAATGCGATCACTGAAAGCACTAGCAAACGCTGGCTCAAGCTGCCGCTGCAGTCAGAAGCGGATTCAATGCAAGCTCAAACCACTGAACACCATCGAGGCACCTTGTAAGCAAATACCTAGCAAAAGCCCTAAAGTTGCCTTATTCGCTCATTCTCCCACATTAAGCACTGATTCAAGATGAGGTAAAGTATGTTTTGAGTGATAATCATGAAGAAGATTTTGGAAAGCACTTGGAAAAAAAGTTTTTGAAACTTTTAATCTTTTTTTCTTTATTCTGCATGTCACAGTGTGCACTGGTTTGTAGCAACATGAACTGCTGGTGCATTAAAATCTTATTTCGTGGGAAATAGGGACTTGTTCATGTAATAGTTGAAAGAAACATTTGCTCTGGCAAGCTGGTGTTTTATCAGGGCTTGTGATTTGTATATGGGAGAAATTCTTGGGCAGTAGACAGGCGAACTTGATAAACTGCTTGTGATTTATTAGGGCGATATCTCAGTGCGGTATCGCACTTTGTGTGTGCATGGGAGTTAGGGACGAGGGAAGGAGAGCTTTTTTCTTTTTTTCCAGAGAGATCCCATTTCCTGAACATGCTTATGACAAAACGAGAGTATCCAATATTGATTGGTAACCCTAAAACAGGCTAATCTTGTAGCAGTGCTCTGCGACAGGGGATGAAGCGAGCAGAAGAGATGCTATCTCGCAGGTCATAGCTGCTGCCAGCAATTCTAGTGCCAAGTTGCTACTTCCAACAAGCGTGTTTCCAAAGTCCTCATCTCATCCTGGTGCAGGGGTACTGTCCTTTCGGCATCCCTGCAAGTCCCAAGAGAGTCAAGGAATTATCTATCAGTTAGGTAAAAAATACCAGTCGAATGGATTTAACGGCAAGGGGAAGATGAGGGGGAGGAAAGGTGTTTGTGAGCGCTGCCAGCTGTGCCCTACACATGCTATGGATGCAGGATGCTTCCCATGGGCAGGCTCCAGGGCTGCCCTCTTCTCCTTTTGGCTTTCCTTAGCCTTTTTTTTTGTGCTGGGGCTGTGTTTCAGGAGCAGAGAGCCCACTCCAGCTCCCCAGCTCCTGTGGAGCCGGGCTGCAAGCTGGGTTCGCTCCCCTGCCATGACTTGGGTTGCAGGAAGGTGGGCTCGAAAGCAGCCCCCCTTTCACATGAGCTTTGGCGTGGGCTGCCTGAAGCCTCCTCAGAAGCACATTCCCACATTGAGCACCCATCCCAGTGGCACTGCTGGGCCGCGGGGAGGTGCTGCCCCTTTGGAGCCGGGTGCCTGCCCGGCCGGGGCCTGGGTGCGGAGCAGGGAAGGGTGCCCATGCGCATGGTGAAGGGGCATGTGGCTTGCACGTGGCCTCTCAAGGGATTCCTTTCCTGAAAACCCTCCAACATCTGGTTTTCCCTTCCCTGCTCGGTGGAGGGGAGGAGGGGAGAAGCCAAGTCCCACCTTTCATCACCCCCAGCCTCGGGGCAGACGTGCAGCTCGTGGCAGCCTCGGGAGACGGCGCTGGCTGAGGTGCCGGGGAGCTCTGCGCTGAGCCGTTTGCAGCTCGGGGTTAATTTCTTGTCTCTGTAGGAAATTAAAGCACTGAACTTAAGAGGGCAAAACCCAAAAGGTCACAGGAAACGCAGAGGGTTGAAGGGGAGCATCGAATCAGGAGATGTGGAGGGAGTAGCCCAACACAGCTCCGGTTGCTCCGGTGCCTGGTGCCAAAATCCTGGATTGCCACACTGGGAGGTACAAGCTCTGCAGGTTCAGATGTGCAGCCTTGTTTGGTAAAGCGGAAAAAAAAAACAACACGGGCCATTCTTGGGAGTCGGTGGCCCTAAAAAAGCGAGAAATTGCTTGGAGGTGGCTTGCTAGAAAGAGGAGAGGAGCCCTCAGTGCCCCGTCTGCAGCCTGCCGGGCTGCCTGGAGCCTGCTCCTTCTCTCAGCGCTCAGCAGCAACCCTTAGGCTCGGGGCCAGAGGGAAATGCAGCCTGCAGAGTGTCCCCAAACCTTGTGCTGATAGGAAAGGACAGGCCCTGGGCACCCTTCCCTCCCCGAGCCCCGCGCGGTGCCAGCCGAGCGCAGCGCCTGGCATGGGGCTGTGCTCCGGACAAAAGGTTGTCCTGCTCACGGCCAGCGGGAGGAGATGCTTTTATTTAAACCTCCTTCTTTGTTCCTTTAAAATGAGCAAACAAACCCACAGCTCGCCCTCCTAAAGGTCATCAAAGTCGTGTCTGCTTTGGTTTTGAAAGCCAAATTGATGCCTGCTTGCAGATCCCTCTGAGGGGTCTCTCCTGCTCCAGCAAAGGAGAAGGGGCTCTAGCAGGGTAGGGTGGATTATTTTACAGAAGGTAAAACAAAAACTATTAATAGAAGTGTAAGACCTTCCTAATGCCAAACAAATGGGGCACAGAGGGTGGAGGAGCGCGCGCGCCCGGTGAGCAGCCCCCTCCGCGGCTGTGCCTGTCCTCCCAAACGCGCTCGCCGCCGCGCTCGGTAACACTCGCTCTGATGAAATGGAAAGTTGAACATAAATCAATGTCTGGGGCTGTGTTAGCTATGCATCAGCAGTTAGTGCGAGATGCACCAAAACAAAGCGCCGGCTGCTCCGCGTTCCTACACTGCCCCCTAATGCAGAGCGGCCTCGGGAGCGGGGCCGGCGGTGGCAGCTCCGCGGCCGGGGCTTCCCTTTGCCCACCCGTTTACTGGGTCACGGTTCCCCTTGGGTCAGAGGGGATGGAGGCGCAGAGCTGCTCTGCCCTCCCTGCGTGGCCATCAGCCTCCCATTTTAGCGTCTGTTCCTGGTGTCCTGGATCATTCCGAGTGCTTGTCGAGCCAGCCAGTCCTCCCCACTGGCGTGACTTCTGTCTGGGTTGTGCAGTGTTTTCCCGCAAGGAATGTAAGAAGTCAGAGCCAGTGCAGGTGTTTTGCCATTAGCTTTATTTCATGTGAGGCTTAGGGATACATATCTGTAATAAGCTGAGGGCAGCCCTCGCTCTTGGAACAGACCGGTATGGATGTCCACACATAAAGGCAAATGGCAAAGTCAGGGAGATGGGAATTTCTTTCTGCCCCCGCTAAGGAGCTACCGGTTTCCCCCTTTAGCCTTGCTGTGCTTGTTTCTTCCCGTCGGAATTGCAGCTTCAGGTGAGGCAGAAATCTTTGCAGTCTAATGTTATTCGCATGAGATCTCTTGCTGCTCTGTAGACTCCTAATTTTAGCAGAAGCTCTATGGCCGCCGCTAGCCTCGTCTGGTCCCTTCTGCTGCTTCTGTGAAGCAGTTTCTGGGAGACAGCACAAGAGCAGCATGGCAAAGCTCCCCGCCTCTGCGCCAGAGGGAACTTCACACAAATCCCAGTAAGCAAAATGCAAATGCCAACATGTATCCGATTTGCTGCCTGTGTCGCAAATACAATAGATGCCTTCCCAAAGCCCGCTGGAACAGGCGGGATGTGTTTGAGCGCTGGAGATTGCCGGAGCAGGGCACACGGTTCACATCTCTAATGGTTCCTCTTGGGGATATCTCGATTTGAAATTCTCTCAAGTAATCTCTTTAGCCGTTGTTCAGGCAGCTTCCTGAGGAGGGTCCCCCATCGTGAGATGTGCTCTTTCCTCCAGCCGTTTGCACGTTTCCCCTCCCCGGGAAGGGTAATGTAACTCTTCTCCAGGGAGCACTGGACTAAAAGATCAGAGTCTGCATTACTTCCCAGCTGCTCGCAACGAAAGCTGGCTTTGCGAGGAGAGGAGCGTGTTGTCCATCTCCGTTTCATTTGGGAATAGTGCTCTCAACACCGCTTCCAGGGAAGGGATTTGCTACTAGAGAAAAGATTTACGGAACAGAAAGGTACGATTTAGAGCTTTTCGTAGCTGCTTCTCTCCCTCTGGAGACTGACATCCGGGGTTTAGAGGGTTCTCTCCTGCCTGTGGGTAGTCCCATTTTCAAAGTTGGACCCTACAGCTCCTCAAGACGAGCCACCTTCCCTGGCCACGAAGGCGCTCAAACAACATCACTGTTGACAGCTCTTGGTCTGTTCTGGGAAGTGAAAAGCAACAGAAGGGCACACAGGGCTTGGTACTGGGGGCCACAACAGTTTTCCTTCTCCTGTGACACCTGGAGCCGTTTTTTTCCAGCCGTGCACAGGAGCATTGCCAAAGGCCGAGCACGCTCCCCACGTCAGCGCGTCAGCGAGGAGAGCAGAGCTGCAAAGCACTGCGTGCGCGGCGCCACTGGATCCAGCAGCTCTTCAATATTTACACCAACCCAGCCAACCCTGGGGAGCGGCAGCCTCGTTGCTTTGGAGAGAGATGAGTCACCTTCTACCGAACTGGGCAGAAAATCATTACTTTGACCCAAGCGAGTGACGTAGCGGAGGAGCGTGATCTGCTCTAGGACGGGCTGCCGAGGGCACGCTTGGGGATGGACTGTGGGTTCATGGTGTGACTCAGCCTGCAGGGCCTGTTTGCAGGGCTCAGGCAGGAGCAACCAGCCCCGGCTCCTGGTGGGCTCATGCCAGAGCTGGTTCCCGAGCTCCGGATTTCCCCTGCAGCACAAACACTGTAAGAGTGGGTGGGAATTAGAGCCAGGCTGATCCCAAAGGGCTGGTTGTACCACTCTGAG